GGCGGTGGCCGCGGCGGGCCACCGCGTGCGCCAGCAGGGGATGGGGGAGAACACTGCGGGATCGGGGTAGACCCGGGGTTCCCAGGCGCTCCCCTTCTGCTTCCCGTTCCCTGGACTGGGGTGTCTGTCCGTCGGGGTCGCAGCTGCGGTGGTGACGGAGGCAGCAGCGGGTTGGGACTGAGCCAGGATTCGAACCTGGGTCTCTAGGGCCGCGCAGACCCAGGGAGGAGCTTCTTGGAAAAACTGAGGCTGGTCTGTCCCTAGGGCCCATTCAACGGAAATGTTGGCTCAGAAGCAAATATTTACTGCAGGAGGCTGGCGCGTGGGTGGGATGTCAGGAGCCCAGATAGTTGGTGTTGACTGGAGGCAAAGCCTGGGGTTTCTTGGAGTCTCAGTTTCCCCATCTGAATATCAGAGAGGCTGAGGGAGGGCTGTGGACTCTGCTGGACCTGGGTTCAAATTTCCGCTGAGCCACAGTCAGGTTGTGTGACCTCATCCAGTTCCTTAACCTCTCTGTGCTTGAGTTTCTCTTTGGTGCTGGACTGGGCATTCCCGGAGGGAAGCCCAGGCAGTCTGGACAGAGGAACCAACTGCTGAAGTACCTTGAATGCAGAGTTGAGGGCTTAGACTCTCCTCCAAGATCCTGGGGAACCATGGAAGGGCTTATGGGCACCACAGGGGTGGGGTGCAGGAAACTGGCCTCAGGGCTTTCTGTCATGTCCTTATTCTCTGTTGTGTTCTGGGTCTCACTAGGACAGTTATTGAGTGGCAGCTTCTTGAAGTCCTGGGCTTCCTCCAGGGAGGGTTGAGCAAACAGTCAGCACTCAATAGATGCTCAGGGAGTGATTGGATGATGCCTAATTCTCCTTTGAGACCTCAAATTTGGCTGTGCTTCTAAGAAGGCTTCTCCTGACAGCAAGCGAGAGGCCAATCAAGCGTTTTTCCCAAATGCTGTTGGAAGCAGCAGGTGCTGCAGTGAGGGCCCAGGGGTGCAGCCTGGGAGAGAGGAACCAGGTGAGGGGCTGGGAGAGGATGTGGGGACTGGCCAACGTGTGTATGTTGGCTCAGGGTAGGGTGGGAGGTTTGGCAGGAAGTTTTGCAGGAACCTGTTGGTTTCGTTTTTGCTTCTGCACCTCAGGCTGGGGAACAATCCTTGTGGCTGTTGATGTCTGTGGGCTCAGTTTCCCAGTCTGGGAAATGGGTGCAGCTGGTCTCTCCTACCTGTGGGGCTTGTTGCAATTGGCATATGTCAGCGACTTCATTCCCTCAGGAGGCACTGCCTGCACTCTCACCACGAGCCAAGCCCGTGAGCGTTGTCCAGAGACAGACAGCAACGTACATACCCACCACAATTTACCCAGGGCCAGGCCCAAAGCCAAGTGCTGTGTGTGGGTTTCATCGAACCTCCCATCATCCTTTGAGGTATACAGATGAGGAAACTGAGGCTCAGGAGGCAGCCACATATGCAGCCGTGGACAGGCTGGGCCCCTCCTCCCTCCCACCTGTCCGCCGTGTCCTTTGCCCGTCACGCCCTCCCATGCCTTGGCCTGTCCTGTACCTTCTGCCCAGGACACTGTCCCTGCCCTTCTGAGGCCCCCAGGCTTTATCTCACCTTCTTGCCAGCGGCTGAGCTGCGTTGGCGGCTTAGGGTGTGTGGGCTGATGCACTTGTCGAGAGAGCAGAGCCGTTGCTGGGTGACTGCTTTGGGGGGCGGGGGACGGTGTCACTCCCAACTTCGTTCTGCCAAGGCAGGGGCTTGGGCCAGGACCCCGGTGGTCAAGGAAGCCGGGCAAGGTGTGAGAGGCCAGGCCGGGGTTCTGGCAGTCGGAAGGAAGCTGGGGCAGAGGGAGGGACATCAGCAGGACAAGCAGGACAGAACCCGACTGTGAAGGATGCTGACTGTAGGGTTTTTAGTTGGGTCAGACTGTGGCATTTTAGGGGCATCTTGGGGAGGACTGGGGTTGCCAAGAGATTGGGGCAGCAGTCTCAGGGAATGGTGCATAGAATTAGGGGGTCTGCTTCCACCTACCTGTGGAGCCCCAGGTGCTGTCTACCCTCTGCCTGGCAGTGGCCACAGTGTGGACAAAGGTGTGGGGTGAGATCATGAACACAAAAGCCTGAAATGGTGGGCCAGGGGCTCCTGGCCACATGCAGTGGCCACCATTAAGGCTGCAAATGCTTCGTGCCACCGCTGGCAATACCAGCAACGGCAATAATTTCAGCAATGTTTATCAAGTGGTGACTCCCGCAGGGCACATAGGGAACCCAACCGAGGGGCAGGGTGGGAGTGGCATGCCCAACTTCCTGTCTCGCTCCAAAGCTGGCCGCACGTGTGCGCTGGGCTGGGCACGTGGTCCTCTGAGCCCTGAGACCTGGGCCAGCCACCTGACCTCATCCCCTGCTCCCCCACAGCTGCCGCAGTGGGAACCGTAAGAGCTTGGTGGTAGGAACACCCTCGCCAACCCTTTCCCGGCCCCTGTCACCGCTTTCAGTCCCGACGGGTGAGTGTGGGAGCAGCAGGTGGGTGCTGTGTCCTGTCTCCACCCCTGCTGACTCAGTTTCCCCCGCCTCCTCCTCAGCAGGCAGCAGTCCCCTGGATAGCCCTCGGAACTTCTCTGCTGCATCGGCTGTCAACTTCCCTTTTGCCCGGAGGTAAGTGGTCCCTGGCTTCGGGGGATGGTGTCGGCACAACTGGCAAGGGGTCAGGCAGGGGCATGCACTTGGTGGTTGGATCTGCCTCCTCACTGGCATTTCCCCCTCCCCTGGCCCCTGCCTGGCGGTGGCCTCTCCCTCTGACTTCCACCCTTGGCACATGCACGGCCTCCTGCAGCCACATCCCACGCATGGACAGGTAACTTCAACCAGCCCTCGGGGATGAAGGGGACACAACCCAGCCCATTACCTCACTAAAAACGTCACTAACTCACTTAACCAGAGCAGACGGAGCACCTGTTGTGTGCCAGGCTCTCATGTCACTTATTCACTCAACAACATTTATTAAGCACCTGCTGTGTGCTATGCCCTGGGCTGGGAGGCTGAGGACATGGCCATGAATGGAGGCTAGACTCTGGCCCCTTGGGAGTGCCCAGTCTGGTGAGGGCGGTCAGTGTGTACCCCAGCAGCTACAGCTCAGAGGGTGGAGCTCTGCTGGGGGACACACTGGCCACTGGGGTCAGGGAGGGCTTCCTGGATGAGGTGTGTGAAGAACTAGGTGAGAGCACACAGTGGACCCGCTCAGCCTTCCTTCCTGTTCTCGGCCTTTTCAGAAAGTCCTTCCTCCAACGGGGCCAGAATCTGCTAGCCATGGCGTCCACCCTCGGTCCCCACGAACCACAGGCACCAAGCCTTCCTTCCAACTCTTTTGTTCCCTCTTTCCAGGGCAGACGGCAGAAGATGGTCTCTTGCGTCTCTCCCGTCTTCTGGCTATGGAACCAACACACCGAGCTCCACCGTCTCGGTACCCACAGCCCTATCTTGGAGGGTGGACAGTCGGGTACAGGGTTGGAAGGATACATCTTTGGTTTTTTTCAAGGTGTCAGATAGCTGTCAGCAAACATCCTGACTGCCTCCTCTGTGTCACATTCTGGCAATGCAGGGCCCCCTGAGAGGACCAGCCTTGGCCCCAAGGAGCCACCAGTCTGGGGGATACAGACATTCCCAACCCATGGGGTCAGAACCTGGCCAGAGGGGCACATGGAGCTGCCAAGGGGGCAAGCAAGAAGGGCTTCCTAAAGGAGGGGGCATCAGAGCTGGGGTTTTGAGAGATACAAAGCAGCCAGGCTGAAGAAAGAGTATTACTGTCCAATGGCTAGCAGATAGCCTGGGCTGTGAGGGGTGGTGCTGGAGTCTTGGCTGTGGCACCGACCGTGAACCCATGGCCCTGATCCCCTCTTCCCCGCCAGTCGAGCTCATCCTCCCGGGAGCGCCTCCACCAGCTTCCCTTCCAACCCACGCCGGACGAGCTGTGCTTCCTGTCCAAGCACTTCCGCAGCTCAGAGAGTGTGGCTGATGAGGAGGGTGGCGGCCGGTCACCCCGCCTTCGTCCCCGCTCCCGCAGCCTCAGGTGGGCCAAGACCTCTGGCCCCAGGCCCAGCCCCTCCCTGGGCTGGCTTGGAGACCCACTCTGTGACCCCTGCTCCCCTGTGGCCCTGACTCTGCCCAAGCCTGGTCTCTGACTCTTGTCCTCAACCTTGGCTCAGGGGCCCCCACCCCCTCCCCTGGGCTCACTCTTGGGTCGCATGTCACAAACCAACCACCCCCTTTCAGCCCGGGACGCACAACAGGGACCTTCGACAATGAGATCGTCATGATGAATCATGTGTACCGGGAGAGGTTCCCCAAGGTGGGCAGCGCCTGGTGGCTGGACCAGCTCCAACTCCCTGCCACGTTGCTGTCCCTCCAAAGCACTCTGTCTTCCTGGTTGTGCCCCCAATCTGTCCATTTCTGTCTGTCCCCATATCTCTATCTCAGACCCAACTCATGTAAGTACATCGCTTCTCCTGCGCCAGTCCTCCCCTCCCTCCCCCATCCTATCTCTTCTCTCGCCCTGACTGTGCCTCTCCTGCCCCCAGCTGTGCCTGTTGTCCCCAGCCTCGACCTCTCATCTCTATCTCAGACCCAACTCATGTAAGTACATCGCTTCTCCTGCGCCAGTCCTCCCCTCCTTCCCCCATCCTATCTCTTCTCTCGCCCTGACTGTGCCTCTCCTGCCCCCAGCTGTGCCTGTTGTCCCCAGCCTCGACCTCTGACCAGGTCACCCCGTCTCCCCCTGCCCAGGCCACGGCACAGATGGAGGGCCGTCTGCAGGAGTTCCTGGCAGCCTCTGTGCCTGGGGCCCGGCTGGCGCTGGCAGACGGCGTCCTGGGCTTCATCCACCACCAGATCGTTGAGCTGGCCCGAGACTGTCTAGCCAAGTCGGGCGAGGCTCTCATCACCTCCCGCTACTTCCTGGAGATGCAGGAGAAGCTGGAGCGGCTGCTGCAGGATGTGTGTGGGGGACTTAGGGCTGGGGGTCCCCAAGCAGGGTGGGGCAGGGCCAAGGGCCTGCGGGTGACGCCACCGCCCACCTCCCCAACAGGCCCACGAGCGCTCAGACAGCGAGGAAGTCAGCTTTATCGTCCAGCTTGTCCGGAAACTGCTGATCATCATCTCGCGGCCGGCACGGCTCCTCGAGTGTCTGGTGAGTCCCTTTTGGCATGTCCAGCACAGGCTCCTGGAGGGATACAAGAGACAGTCCCATCGTGCAGGGCTTTGAGAGGATCACAGGGTTTTGCCAGGCTTGGGTAGGCTTCCCCAAGGAGGGCTCAGGACCTGCGACCCAGGGGATGAGCTGGAGCCACCACAGAGGTTGCACAAGGGAAAAGAAACAGCATGTGCAAAGTCCCAGAGGTGGGACCAAGCACCGGTTGACCAGCACCCCTATGTCCCCAGGAATTCGACCCTGAGGAGTTTTACCACCTGCTGGAGGCGGCTGAGGGCCAGGCCCGGGAGGGCCAAGGCATCAAGACGGACCTGCCACAGTACATCATTGGGCAGCTGGGCCTGACTAAGGACCCCCTTGAGGGTGAGCTGGGGTGGGGGTGGAGTGGGGAGAGGAAACTGAGGCCTGCAGAGGTTGGGGTGGAGACAATGCCAGAACCACACTGTCCTTCACCTCTCTGCGGCTGTCCCCTTGGCCCCCTGTGGGAAAGCACCCCAAATTCTGGGGTCAGACAGCCTCGGGTAAGACCCCCTGACCTGCTAGGGCCTTAGGGCCTCTGTGTCTTCAAATGCCACATTGAGATGGGCCAGGATGCCTGGGGACCAGCATTAGCAGTGGCCTTCCCGTTGTCCTGCAAGTTCACAAATTGCTTTCCCAATATCATCTGACTGCGGCCCAGAGGTGGACGTGAGGCCAGACAGGGCAAGACGGAGCTGGTCAGAAACTCCCACAAATAGCCATGACAAGGGAACCAATCTGGTGCTAGAAGAGTATTGAACTTGGACCTGGCTCAGTCTGGAGGCGGTCAGAGGCTCTGGGAGGAGGTGATGTTCAAGCTGAGGGATGGAGGATGGGGAGGTAACCAGGTGCAGATCTCGGGAGCTAGGTGGGGGAATGGCAGAGGCAAAGGCCCTGAGGTTGGACCTGGCTGGAGGGTTGGAAAGGCAGCGAGGACAGGGTGTGGCTGGTGGAAGGAGGAAAACTGGGGGCAGACGACGGTGTTGGCAGGGGCCAGACACAGTCAGGGTCTTAACAGTGTACAGGGTTCACTGAGCATCATTGCTGTGTTAATCCTGGGACCGAACTGACGTTGCTCCATTTAAAGCCAGGGAAGCTGAGGCTCTGGGCAGATGAGGTCCAGGGGAGCAAACCCGGGTGTGCCAGAGGAGACCACGTTCCCTGAACACTCACCAGGGGCTGCCCCTCTGTCAAGCCCTGGGCCGCACCCTGAGCTGAGGAGGATGTGCAGGGTCGGGACCCAGAGGGATGTGTTTCAACCTGTGTCCAAAGGCCCAAGTCTGAGAGCCCGGGTTTGATCACAACAGTGATCCAGAGGCTGGGCTTCCCACTGGCCCTTCTAGAAGGCTCCTCAGTTGTTGCTTTGTCCAGACTCTTGGGTTTGATTCAGTGACAGTATCATGGGAGCTGGTCAGGGAGGCACCTCGTCCCCAGCCCAGGATGAGCCCCAGAGGCCTAGGGAACTCGCTGGGTGATTGAGGGGCCAAGCATAGAGGCCCCATTCAAGGCTCCTCCCTCATCTTGCAGAGGTGGTGCCGCTGAGTCACCTTGATGAAGGACAGCCCCCAGCCCCCGAATCCCCGGAGGTGAGTCATGTGGCTTTGGGGCTCTCCCACCTATCTTGTTCTTTCTGGGTAGACCAGGTAGCCACAGAAGGGGCTGGACTTGCTGAGGTTTTGCATGTAGTAAGCACTCGATAAACACCTGTGACTTGGGGAAGGAAGGTGGCAGCAAGTGGGACTGTCCCACCGTGGAGGTCAGACAGGAGAGGGCTGGAGGGGCACTGGAAAGGTGAATTTTGAAGGATGCGTAGGAGTTTGCTGGGAGGAGGACACAGCTTGAGCAAAAGCTTAGAAACTCGGAAGCTGAGCTCGAGAAGTTTAGATGGGAGAGGAATTAGCATCAGGCACCAGGACTGGTGGTCTGGAACTGGGGTCAGAAGGACCCTGGCCTGCCCTGCAGCGGGGCGGGACCCTTAGTCCTTGTTGCCCCCCAGAGCCGTGCCCTGGTTGGCCCATCACGGAGGAAGCCATGTGAGAGCGACTTTGAGACCATCAAGCTCATTAGCAACGGGGCCTACGGGTAAGTCCTCGGGTCCCCCATAGACTCATTTCTCAGATGCCCACGGGGATGACTGAGCCCCAGGCAGCCCTTGCATCAGCTTCCACCTCAGCAGGGCTCATGCATTCACCCTCATATGGCACTCAGGGAAACTGAGGGCTGCAAAGGAAAATGGAGACACACGGCCTGGCTGCTGCCTTAGACGGGCTCTGTCCATGATACCTGCCCCAGGAGTAGGGGTTCTAGGGGGTTGGGGCTGATCAAGGAAAAAGAGAGCAGTAGCATTCAGTGGGCTTTATTTAGGTGCTGCTTTGACAGGTTTGCACAGGGGACAGAGGGGAAATCTCAAAATAAGACCTTTGAGGCTAAGGTTTGGGGAGTTGCCATCCCAAAGGGGAGCGGGGCAAGGGAACTCCAGGGGGAGAGGGAGCTCCTGGGACTAGGTGGTGTGTCTCCATAGCACAGGTGCAGAGCCTCTGGGTCACAGTTCTGTAGGGCAGCAGCAGCTCAGGGTCATTATATCAACAGAATTTCTCTTAACTATGGCTAGGAGGTACTGGGTGCAGTTTCACAGCATATGCAAAGCAGGCAGGCTCTCAGTGGCTAAAATCCTGCCTCTTTGGGCTCTGTTTAAAACAAACGGATGTGTAAAAATTTGAGTTTGGTGCCAGTGGGCTTTTTGGGGGGCTGGGGTGGCTGGCTGGTAAGGGGATCCGAACTGTTGACCTTGATGTTATCAACCACTGGGCTTTTGAGATAAGGGTCTCAAACTGCAGTGAAGTTTGGCCCTCAGGGCCAGTACACAGAGAGGCCAGTATACAGAGGCCATCTGTGGCTCATTTATATGACACAAGGCGATGGTGGCTTAAACCGGTAGGGTGGCTGCTTTGGGAGAGGGGCCAGATATGGAGAAAGGATGTCCTCGGTGGAGGGCACAGCACAGGCAAAGGCTGGCCAGGTTGGGTTCTGAGGCTACTGGGGCCTCCATCTCAGGCCTTAACAAGCCCAGCCCCCCACCCCCAGGGCTGTCTACCTAGTGCGGCACCGAGACACACGGCAGCGCTTCGCCATCAAGAAGATTAATAAACAGAACCTGATCCTGCGCAACCAGATCCAGCAGGTCTTTGTGGAGCGTGACATCCTCACCTTCGCTGAAAACCCCTTTGTGGTCAGCATGTTCTGCTCCTTTGAAACCCGGCGCCACTTGTGTATGGTCATGGAGTACGTGGAAGGTACGGGCACTGGGGCTTGCATGCCTCCAGCAATGGGGAGCTCACCCCCATTCCACCTGGGAGAAAGTCCCTCATCGGATCAAGCTAGAGTCTGCTCTGTCCTCTGTGGGGTTCCAGCTGGCCTTGGGAGGACCTCGGGAACTACAGTGTGGGGCAGGGGGTCCAGCCATGGAGGGTTGGGGTGGGGGGAGCCCACAGAGGAGTGGGAGGATGAGACCCTTGGGGACAGAGGAAGAATGGACATCCTAGGCAGGGGGAAGTGGTGGGAACAGGTCTGGAGGCCAAGAGTAAAAGTGGGCAGGGGAGGTGTAGGTCAGAGGGCTGGGCTGGCCGGTTGCTCAGTTGGTTAGACCACAGTGTTGTAACACTAAGGTCAAGGGTTTGGATCCCCTTACCTGCCAGCCACCAAAAAAGCAGGGGGGGAGACTGGAAGGGTTGGGGGCCAGGGTGGGGCTTTGTGGGACCTTCGGCATGTACAAATACGAAGGTGCTGCTGGCAAAGGGAGAGAACATGCGTTTAAGGGACTGTGCGCTAACAGCTGCTGCCCTGCTGGGGAGAATCAGGAGGCTGGGTCTGCCCTCCCTTGACTCCCCACCCTGATTCAGGACAGACTGGGGACACTGCACGAGGCCAGGAAGGTGCACAGGCATCGGGCACGTCCTGAGAGGTGGGTCCAGGAGCCCGGGGCCTCCATGAGCCCTTCTGCCCTTCCCCCAGGTGGTGACTGCGCCACGCTCTTGAAGAACATGGGCCCGCTGCCCGTGGACATGGCCCGCATGTACTTCGCCGAGACGGTGCTGGCGCTGGAGTACCTGCACAACTACGGCATCGTGCACCGCGACCTCAAGCCAGACAAGTGAGCGGGCGTGCTCCGGTCCTCAGGGAGGGCGGAGTCCAGAGAGGCCGGGCGGGGCCCAGGAAGGCGGGGGCAGAGGCGGGGGGCGGGGCCCGGAGAGGCGGGGGTGGTGCAGGAGACAGGCTTGGGTGGCACAGAGGCTCAGGAGCCCCGGCTGCCGGAACTCAGTTGGCATCTCAGGACCTCTCCTGGCAGGAAGGCAGGGAACGTGCACATACTGAGTACCTGGTGTGTCCAGAGGAGAGGAGAGCAGGAACTTAATAGGCACCTGCTAAATGCAGGAAAATGGAGGTGCTACCGATCACGGGAAGGGGATGTGCACTTAGGATGTACACCCTGTGTACAGGAGAAGGAACCATGCACTCCCAGAGCTGCTACTGCACAAGGGGAGAGAGCATGCACTTATGAGGCACCAGCTATATACAGGGAACAGGGACACGCACATCGCAAAATCTTATATGTGAAGGAAGGGACCATGTGCGTCTTGAGCACCTGCTGTGTATTAGTGCAGGGATGAAAGGAAGAGAACATGTTTATAGAGCCTTCATCTGTTTGTTCTAGTGTCTAGTAAACACCTACTGCATGCCAGGTCCTCCATGTTTGACTGGGAGACACAGGGCTACCTGCTTTGTAAATCCTGTATAATTTTCAAAGCACTCTTGCCTGCCTTTATTGAACACCTGCTGTGTACAGAGGGAAGAGCCAGCATTTTACCTCTGGATGTAAGAACTGCATGTGTCTCAGAAACTGGCTGTGTGCAGACGTGAACATAAGTGTAAAGAGCCTTATGTGTTTTCAGGGCATGCTGTAGTTTGCAAGTGGCTTAAAAAATAAACCAAATGTGTGGCCAGCCCATGGCTCACTTGGGAGAGTGCGGTGCTGATGACACCAAGGCCACGGGTTCGGATCCCATATAGGGATGGTCGGTTAGCTCACTGGGTGAGCATGGTACTGACAACACCAAGTCAAGGGTTAAGATCCCCTTACCGGTCATCTTTTTAAGAAAAAAGAAAAGAAAATGAAAATAAACCAAACATATATTTGGCACCTGCTGTCTATACCTGGGCCTGTGCTTGGTGCTCTAAGGAGTCCAGACAGAAGTATAAATAACTCCTCACACATCGACGTTGGGTTTATAAAGAACATTTTTTTGGTCAGCATGTATTCATTGGGCACCAGTTATGTACAAGGTGAGCAGAGCAAGTATCAGACGATGACTGTGTGCCAAATTTTTTGTTGTGGTTGTTTTGGTGGCTGGCCAGTGCTGGGAACTGAACCGTTGACCTTGGTGTTGCAAGGCTGCACTCTAACCAACTGAACTAACTGGCCAGCTCCTCAGGCCCAAGTTTTTATTTTGTGGTCAGCATGCATTGAGCACCTACTGTGTGTGAGGGCAGGGGCCCTTTCACTGCTGGAGAAGTGGAAACCTGTTACCATCAGCCTCCGGGGGGGTCATCCTGGGGTGAGGTGGGGTCCAGGGAACAAGAGTTTCTGAGTCTTTTGAGAGTCTTGAGTCAGACCCCATGGCAGGACCTGCCCCTCCTGAGCTCAAGACCCTCATTTGTAAATGAGGTAGGAAGGTGTCCAGCTCCAGGGTGTTCAAGGAAAGATAGGCACCCACAATAGCACCTTGAGAAAAATATTTTTTCCTTTTCACTTTTGAAAATTTCAGATGTACCCAAAAGTCAATGGATGGTGCACTAGTTTGCTAGAGCTGCCATTTAAAAAGTGCTGCAAAGTAAGTAGCTCAAACAACAGAAATTTATTCTGTCACAGATCTGGAAGCTAGAAGTCCAAGATCAAGGTGTCAGCAGGGCTGTGCTCCCCTGAAGGCTCTAGGGGAGGTCTGTTCCAGCCTCTCTCCTGTCTTCTGGTAGTTCCTTAGCATAACTCCAGTCATCACATGGCGTTCTCCCTGTGTGTACGTCTGTATCTAAATTTCCTCTTTGCGTAAGGACACAATCATATTGGATGAGGAGTCACCCTACTCCAGTGTGACCTCAGTTAACTTATCACATCTGTAGTGACCCTACTTCCAAATAAGGTCATGTTCTGAAGTACTATGGTTATGACAACAAAGTATGGATTTGTGGGGACACAGTTTGAGCCGTAACAGAAGGGTTTGGGGTCCCTGCCCACTCCCCACTCCCATTTCCTCCTCGCCCCGTTGGTACCTCTCTCCCCACTGGATGATTTGAAGCAAATCCCAGGCATCATATCATTTCATTTGTAAGAAGGAAAAAATAATTTTAAAAGGAGATGTAGGGCCGGCCCGTGGCTCACTCGGGAGAGTGTGGTGCTGATAACACCAAGGCCACGGGTTCGGATCCCATATATGGATGGCCAGTTTGCTCACTGGCTGAGCGTGGTGCTGACAACACCAAGTCAAGGGTTAAGATCCCCTTACCGGTCATCTTTAAAAAAAAAAAAAAAAAAGGAGATGTAGTCCGTGTTCAAGAAACAAATGTTTTCTAGAAAGTAGACATGCCAACAGGAGTTCAGGGAACATTACTTCTCTTAATGGATGGCCCCAGGACTTGGTTTTGGGAGGTGTTGGCTGCACCAAAGTGTCTTTCCCACAAACTGTGTACGCTGTAGTTGCTCAAGAATCATTCCTTAAAAAAAAAAAAAATAGTGGATGCACACAGTAGATGCACAGAATTTTTTTTTAATAGGGCTAGGGTACACAGTAGGTACCAAATAAATGGTTCATTACACAATGGATATATGACATGAGTTTTCCAGAAATTTATTTTTAAGTGGCAGATATACCTAGGAGTTGCATAAAATGTGACTTTATAAAGCTGGTGCATATGATTCTATCTTTAACAAAACATTTAAATACAGTACTTAAGTTCACAGGAAAACTTAAACACAGACATATGTGGCACATGCACAGGTTTTCAAAAAGTGAGTGCATTCACCAGGTGCACAGAAATATTCCTTTATACAGCAGGTGCTCAAGATGTGTTCATTTTTCCACAAGGGGATGTAAACAGTAGGGGCTTGCAAAGTGTTTAGTTTGTTAAGATAACAATATTTATACAAAAATATACTGTAGATGCAACCAGCTGGTGTTGTGAGATGTTTTAACACTCAGTGGGTAGACACCGTGGTTCTCAGAAAGTTTATCTTTGAACAATGGAGTATACAGTAGGTGCTCAATAGCAACACCAAATGCACCCAGTGGATGCACAGAGATGTCTGCTTTGTAATACTGCTAAGACACCGTGGCTCTTTCAATAACGTGGCTGCACATAGGAAGTGCTTTCCGATCTTCTCTGGAGAGAGTCAGGCCTTGGCCAAGCTCTAGGGCCAAGTTCTGGGCGGTGCGAGCAGCCAGGGACCTCAGCCCCAGCCCTGAGCATGCCACCTGCCTGCCCACAGCCTGCTCATCACCTCCCTCGGCCACATCAAGCTGACCGACTTCGGCCTGTCCAAGATCGGACTCATGAGCATGGCCACCAACCTCTACGAAGGCCACATCGAAAAGGACGCCAGGGAGTTTGTGGACAAGCAGGTGGGTAGGCGGGCAGGTTGGGTGGGCCTGGGTGTGGGGCTGGCTCCCTTCCTGAGATGTGTAGAGACTTTGCAGCAAAGGGAGAACAAAAACTGTCCCTCCATAATTCCACCCACCCCTATTCCCAGAGTGGCGGCAGCCTCCCCGTCTCTCCTGGGGTCTCTCCCAGGCTGGGGGCTGGCCTCAGTTTCCCTCTTCTGCCTGGCCCAGGTGTGCGGGACACCTGAGTATATCGCCCCGGAGGTGATCTTCCGCCAGGGCTACGGGAAGCCGGTCGACTGGTGGGCCATGGGCGTCGTCCTCTATGAGTTCCTGGTGGGCTGCGTGCCTTTCTTCGGAGATACCCCTGAGGAGCTCTTTGGCCAGGTGGTCACCTGGTCCCACTTTGGGGCCTTTGCCGTGGGCGGTGTCCCCATCCAGCCTGACACACCCTTCCTGCATCACCACACAGCCCCTGAGGTCACCTGTTGGTGTCAGGTGGGCCACACAGACCTCTCTCTCCCACAGCACGTTCGGAACGCTACCACCACCTAGGCTCTGAGGACGATGAGACCAACGATGAGGAGTCTTCCACAGAGATCCCCCAGTTCTCGTCCTGCTCCCACCGGTTCAGTAAGGTGAGCTCTGGGCCCAGGACGCAGCCAGTGCTCAGGAAATATTCAAGATGTTTGTGTGTCTATCCATTTATCCTTTGGTGGCCATTTGGGCAGTTTCCACCTTGTGACACTTAATACAGCTGCTATGCTGGGTGGTGTTTTATAGTTTCACAAGCTGAACTTAAATTCCTTTCTTTGTTTATAATTTGATCAAAAAACCTAGGGCAAGCCCGTGGCTCACTTGGGAGAGTGCGGTGCTGATAACAACAAGGCCAAAGGTTCGGATCCCTATATAGGGATGGCCGTTTAGCTCACTTTGGAGAGCGTGGTGCTGACACCACCAAGTCAAGGGTTAAGATCCCCTAGGGCCGGCCCGTGGCTCACTCGGGAGAGTGCGGTGCTAATAACACCAAGGCCACAGGTTCGGATCCCTATATAGGGATGGCCGTTTAGCTCACTTTGGAGAGCGAGGTGCTGACACCACCAAGTCAAGGGTTAAGATCCCCTAGGGCCGGCCCGTGGCTCA